CCACACAACACCCACACCCACACTCAAACCCACACTCACATCAACACCTACACCAACACCCACACACCCACACCCACACCCACACCCACGCCCATTTCGACTTTGAAGTGATGATCTGTTGCAAAATTATTCTAAAACTGCATCGCAACATTGCACCTTTTTAATCCGATGGATGTTTGATACCGAACCCAAATTGAATTCTTTAGGTTGCTGTAAGCGGAACTTAAAATTTTCTTGTGGAAGGATCACCTTCCGCTGAGTCTCATTTCATATGAAAACGTTTCCCTGTTCCTGGTTTAGAAGCATTATTATTTCTGTTTTGGAAAATTTTTTTTTATTCGATATTCAATTTAGAAAAAGAAAAGTGTTTCATATGTGTAATAACAGTTAAGATTAGACGGGTGTCACAATATCAAAAAGGTAAATTTACCTCGCCATCGGCACTATCCACAGTATCGATGACCTTTCGAGTTCCAGCATCGTCGACTAATTCGTTCCAGTCAGAATTTTGTTGTGCTAACCAGCTTAAATTACCAAACATATACAGAGCACGTCTTGCTCTTGTCAGCATGACATTGAGACGATGTTGATCGTCCAAAAATCCGATTGTTCCACCGCTTCTGACGCACGAAATAAGAACAATATCGTGTTCCTTTCCTTGTGCACTATCTACAGTCAAAACTTCAATATGGCGCGGAAATTCTAGCGATCTTTCACGAAATTTAGTCATCTGTCTTTTGTAAGGCGTAATCACAATGATACGTTTTTCCATTTCAATAAATTCATTATCATTTTTAACATACTGTCGCCCCCCAACTAGATGCTCAAGCAGTTTGACGCAGAATGTTTTTACAAATATTCGTTCTTCTCTATTTTCCGATGATCCGCCAGTAGGTGGGCATGTATGTGTTGTATATATCAGATTGTACAAATAATACGGCTCTAACGAGTAGTCAGGCCAATGATTCCTTGCAATCTCATCTGTAATGAGCTTACCATCATAGAAATGGTTACTTGGAAATTGACATATTTCTTCATGCATACGATACTGTCTAGTTAGCAAACTGATATTGTCTCGATGAATTCTAGCCTCTAGTCTGGTATAAAGTGATTGGGATAGATTATATTGTTGTCTAGTGGTACTAAGAACGCATGGAGGAAGTTGTTTAGGGTCACCCACGAGAATAATCTTAGCACAACCAAAGTAAAATGGTAGAAGACAATCCGCTTCAAGACTTTGACAAGCTACATAGTAATTATAGACAAAAGTAATTACAAAGAAAAATTTACCTTCATCGATAATGATAAATTTAACAGCTCCTTGCTTTTTGATTGATAGAAGTGTATTATTAGCCGAGTAATTTAATGTCGAAACGATGAGCTTGGCATTCTCGATAATATCGTGCTTGATCGAGTCTGCTGTTTCATATGTTACTGATTCTCCGTTTTGTATTCGTTCGACAAGTTTTTGCAACGTAAGTGATTCGAGAAAATGTTCACAGACAAAATGATCCAGAGGTGCTTCACGACCAACTCGTACCAGTGTTCCTAGAAAACTTCATGTACTTAGTTGTACAGTTAAGCGTAACGTGATCATCACCTTTCTCATAACCAGCAGGAATTTCATTCAAGATTCGCTTTGACAACTCATTACAGGCATTGTTTGATGGTGCACAGAGTAGAATTTTTGTCTTTTTGCCTAATTGTGGCAAAATCTTGACGACAATACCAGCAATTGTTTTACTTTTTCCAGTACCTAAGTGGAGAAAATTCTAAAATTTTATAATAAGTTATCGAAGAAAACGACATTAGACCTGGTGGGCCGTGCACAAGGTGTAGACGGTCAGTTGTATTGTCACGAAATATTCGTTCAGCGTAATCGATAACTCGCATTTGAGCATCGTTAAAGTTTTTTAGTGTTACCGTTGTAACATTTGGAAAGTGTTCACGATGAAAGTAGAGATCCGTATTTGACGGTTTGAGTAAGCTTTTCTGCTTGGAAAATTTACTCAAATTATAAATGGCACTGATCTGCCTTCGAGATGAGGTAATATTAGTCAGTTTAACTACAGACATTTTTTGCCCTCCTAAGCGTGGACAATTTTTTTGAATAGCGTTTGAACACTTTTTTGAAGTATATAAAACCACATCAGATTTGACTTGAATAATATGTTTATCCTCATCGTCCTTTGTCAAGCGGATATCTGCGATCTTCTCCATATCTGATGGCCAATGATCGACTACATCAACAACAACGGCAAAAAAGCTGTGACGTTTATCTTGAACACCTATGTTAATTAGAACAATATCACATAAAGCAAGCTTTGGAAGTGTTCGATTAAATAAAAGATCAGTTTGAAAGAAATATGAACCAAAAATCAACATGGTATTCACGGATGGTTCAGATGGATCGACTGCTTGTGCAGTTTCTGGCACATATTTCATGATTTGGATTTCAATGTCGCCATCAATACGGAATAAGGTTTCGGACGTCATTGACTTTATATCATGCTTGATATTTTCCCATAATTCGTGGTAAAGAAGAGGTATGAAGCACTTTTCATACCGTCTTTGTGCAGTTTCGACATTAAAATCAAGCTCATCTGGTGAATTATCTACAACAAAAATTCTCCGTTATACTTAAAAATTTTTCACATTTATTACCAAATATTTGTGGTACACGTAATAAATGTTCAGGTGTCAAGCTTTTATGCAAAACAGAGCTAATTATAAACGTCTGAGTTAAATAAACTGGCATCCATCGAGTAACGATGCGATCAAATAGACGTCGGATGCCAGAATGAGCTTGAGCTGACCAAATCGCTCGTTGGGATGACATTTGGGAGTCTTTTTGTCGTGATTCTGATATGCCATAGCCAAAAAGATACAAAGCTGTTATATGTCTTTGCTTGAATGTGTATAAAATACGTGCCTTAATCCACAGATGACGAGTCTGAGGATCTTCGCATTTCACTTGAAACCATGTTTTAGCCGTGTAACTATTATTCAATCGATCTTGCAGTTCCATTATTTTTCAGTTCAAGATGGCCTAATATAATGACTAGTGTAGTAGAAAAAGCCAGAATAATTTGCTGTTCGTTGAAAAAACGTATGGCATGTGAATCAGCAGTGTGTAGTGTGAAATATGTTGTCGTCGTAGATAGGAAAACGAATCGCAGAACGATAAAATTGTCAGTATTTGTTGCTTCAATGTTTACCTTCTTCATGTTTTTGTGCATTTCTTTCTCTTTCTGGTGACTGCGTATTCCACTCAATACACCAATTGACGCACGTTGTTCATTTCGCAGTAACGGCAGTAATTTTCATGAATTCAGAACGATGTCTTGAGGGTGTGGGTGTGGGTGTGGGTGTGGGTGTGGGTGTGGGTGTGGGTGTGGGTGTGAGTGTGGGTGTGGGTGTGGGTGCGGGTGTGGGTGCGGGTGTGAGTGTGGGTGTGGGTATAGGTCTGCTTTTTAAGCACTCTCAAACCGACACCCACCGCACCCACACCCACATTTTATAATTTGATTAAACTAGGTGTCACCTGGTTTAAATCCAATCTTCGATACAAACGTATAAGAGTTGCAAAACCAATCATAATATCAGAATGGCTAAACTGTGAATTTTCCAATGATAAAGCTTTTTCTCAAAATGAAATAGCAATATAAACAACTAATCAGCCTATATTGACTTTTTATTTTCAATGATTTAATTATTTTATCTTTGTTGATTAAATATTTCTCTTCCAAAAAATCCTTATAACTTCCGTAATTTTCATGTTCATCGTTAACTATGTTAATTTTTCTTTACACAAAGTCTTTAGACTAATATTTGACAAAGTTTTCGCTAATTTTTCACGACATACTCATGTTTGATAAAGTTTCAAGGGAACTTCCTCCTCCAATATCACTCACCAAACACAATTTTCCAACGAAATCGACCGTCATTTAAAGCTTCAGTTAATCCTAATGTGTAATTTAATTCCTTTCCATGACGTGAAATTTCATCAGATTTATCAGTTATGTCAGAGATTTAGAACTCATAAATTAAATCAAATATAAGAACCTTTCCCGTGAACATGATCACGTACCTCATAATCGAATTTCGTGAATTCTTTAGAAGGACATTTCATTATTTTATTCTTATTGTCAATATATGCTAGTGATTGCAATACTTGTTTTGAAGTTCTTTGAGAGTCTTTTAAAGGATAAGATGTTCTATGGTTTATTGGATAGGTATTTAATCGATGATGATATTCTTTCCAATTATAAAAAAAAAAATTTATGTCTCTTGACTCTAAATATTTTAAAAACATTTCTTGTTTTTCTCTAATTAAAAACGAAAGCATTGCTCCAATATGAGTAATAGAATATGTGTCTTATTCTGACACAAGGTAGGTAATTCTTTAACTTTTTCGAGATTTTTCTTTGAATACACAACTTCTCGTGAAAATGATATAACATATATTTTCTGTTGTAATTATTTGCCAAATTTATTTCATAATCATTTTTGCATAAGAATCATTACCATAACTGCTTTCCATAAAAATATTCGTTAAAATATTTTCTTAGACTTCTTCTCTTTCATTCTTATCATTTTATGAGTTTGATGACCTATAAATTTCGAAATCAACAAAGTGATTCTTTCTATGTGTTGAATTAGTGTTCCTTGAACTAAATAACAATCTAATTTTTCATGAAGTTTATCTTTTTGATCTCTATTAAGAGGATCGAGTTCTTATAGGTTGTCAATGTCTTTTAAGAAGGATAAAGGTGTGGGAGTGGGTATGAATAAAGAGGAAACCCACAGCCACCACATTCATACCGACATGCGAAAGACTTCCTATTTGCTAATATTTATTTTCAATTCACGTTTTAAGAAAATAGAAACGAGAAACAATGAAAATAATTCATTGAAAATTCCTCAATATCACTATGAAGTGGATCTTTAATCAATATTGAATCGTTGTATTCGATCATTTCCGAAATCAACAACATAAAGGTTCCCTTGTTTATCAAAAGATAAATCCTGAAGATAATAAAATTATTTTGGCTGATTTTCTTGATTATTGCCACCACACCCTCAATATCAATCAAGTTCAGATTTAAATATAGTAAATTAAAAAAAATTGTTTACAAAGACTTGAATCAAACTTTATTATATTTCAAAAAGATACGCCAACTTATACAATATAACACAAATTTCATTTTTTTACATGCAGAAACAATTGCTGTTCCTGGTTACAAAGGATTAGCCAAATAGCTCTGAAGAAATCTTTCATTAAAGATGAGATACAACATAATCAGAAATCAAATCCCATATATTGTCGACAACAACGATCGCTTTAATCCCTTTCGTTTAAAAACAATACCTCAGTATACGAGATAAAGCTTTCTATTAAAATATTGGACTAAGCAAAAAACATTATATTACAGTAAAATATGAAGCAATCAGAAAGCTTTATATGACTTGTTTAGCAGGTACACCAGACCAGTTTGTGTTAGGTGGTAGTTGATCATCTTTCATCACAAGTGTCCATGGTAAGATAAGATTTTGTCCTTGAAGTATGGATCCAGAAAGTACTAGTGTATTACTCATCAGCACACTAGAATGATTCACAGTAATAGGTGCTCGTTTGAACACACGCTGTTCGAATGTGTGAGCCTGAATATAGAAATAGAAAGGATGACCAAAAAGAAAATATTATAGAAATATATATATTACTTGTATGATAGCATTCCTATTCAGGCGAACATGATCACCAATCTTTACAAGATGTGGATCAGTAAGGCAACCAACATCAGGTAGACTAACATCAGATCCAATTTGAGCACCAAGGATACGAAACAGAAAAACAAGACATTGTGTTCCCGATAGATATGGCCCGACAAAAGCAGAAAACTCGTTCATCAACGTATAAAGAAAGTGTTGTTGGCGAGTAATAACTTCTGAATATGTGAAGTGTGAGCGTCTTTTTGTAGACAAAATCGAATAATGGTAGATTGCACAAAAGAGCATTGCATGAATAAACAGTGCAGCAACAATCGGTAATGATAAATATAAAGTGATGAATAGACACTTGCTTATAAACAAACTAAAGCATGAAAACAACAAAGTATATATAGCTATATAGTTCGAATATGATGAATCATTAACGAAATATATATCTTCAGGCACTATAAAGGGCATTTTACGAGCTGGAATACCGAGTAATACACAATTACTTTGTGTACTAATAGTCTTTTCTGTAACTAACGTTTGACTTCCAACGATTATTTTGGAAGAAAGTCTTGTTGCTGGCATAATGGTACACCCATTGGTAAGATTTACATATGAACCAAGATGTATTTCATTTAGATAACAGAGACCTTCTTTTGTCATTTCGAATGGAGCAAGATTAACCCTGCCGAACGTTGTTACACCACGTTCAATATTAAGAAGATTTGATGGAAAACATAATATGTTTTGAAATTCAGCAATTTTGACACCATCTTCGACATGAGCACCTAGCCATCGTAAAATTAGCGATGAGAGGACATCGTATGGCGGTAAAAAATATAACGCGTGATGAAATGATGTTATAATCAATTGCCGTAACCACAATTTGCGCAAGTAATAATAAGAACTTATTGGATAGTAACCTGATGTGGCAGGTCCCACAATGAACTTCAATAAGACTAAAGCTATAGAAAAACTTGTCAATGTCCATATCAACCAAGTCCAAGCAAGACTAACAGATAATGGTAGTGATAAAATCGAACAGTAAGAATAGACGCCATAGGTTAACAGCAAAACTAAGCTCTGCGTAAAGAATAGACCTAGTAAACAAGTGAATTGAAACATAGTTTGTATCAATGATAAGGACCGATTTGCGATAAATCTCTGGTCATTCGATGCTGTAATGATTCCAGTGATAGCAGACATTGGATTTATGTAAGCAAAATTCTCTATAATCACATCGTCATAGAGTACACACTGTGTGTTAATGGAACAGTGTGATCCAATGCGAATTGGATGAAGTTGATAGGTTTTATCTTGATACGATAAGTTTGAAATTATAACTCCTTCGCCAATAAATGATGATTCGCCAATTTCAAGCAACCAAGGAGCATCGATCGATGTAGTGTAAATGTGTGTATGGCATCCAATTTTAGCGCCACATAATCGAAGATAAGAGTTATAAAATGGTGTACCCAACAAATGTTTTAACCAATAAGCATTATTAATTGACCATAGACTATTCATGAACCACCAACGGTAATAATCCCACGAATACAATTTCTCTAGGCTGTTTGTAATTTCTTCCGAATAAAATAGCCAACGTTGACAAATTATATATGAAAAAAGATGAAACATTGGAACGAAAAGAAGAGTGATCAGAGAGTTAGACTGGACGATTAGCCATATGGGAAATAGCCACTGACATAAGAGTAACATAATACCTAATAATTCGATACATAAGGATGGCATTAGTCGATCTTGATCTTTTTCTAATTGCAAAGCAATAGTTTTGACAGATGAGTCACCATATGTCACTAGCAATGATTCAATGGTTTGTGCAAGTTGTCGAACCGATGGGTTGGCAAATAAGAGACTAGCATCAACCTTTACACATATTTCTTGTCGAATAAGCACTAGCGCTCGTATAGCATCGATTGATGTACCGCCCAATTGTCCGAACGGCATACTCACATTTGGTGACTTACAGTGAAATGTCTCACTAAATATGCGCTGTAGATGTTCTTCCAAAGGTGTTAGTGACATTAAACCAGCTTGGTTGATATTCGCCAATGGCGAAAAGTCAGGTATTGAAAGAAGTTTTCGATCTATTTTTCCATTTTCATTCAATGGTAGTTTCTCCAGTAAAACAAATGCTGATGGAACCATATGTGGTGGAAGATGATATTGACAATGCTTGCGTAACTGTTCTACGTCGATATCAGAACCTTGAACATATGCAACCAAATGATCCTCACCGCATTTGATGACAACACAAGCAGAGATTGATGTATCAAGTAAACATTGTTCGATTTCTCCAAGTTCAATACGCTGTCCATGTAACTTGATTTGATAATCTTTTCTTCCTCGATAATAAAGCAGACCATTATTATCCAATTTAACAATATCACCTGTTCGATAAAATATTTCATCTTCTATTTTAACAAATACTTTTGTTGTCAAGTCATCACGTTCACGGTAGCCAGCGAAGACACCCACACCTCCTATATATAATTCACCTTCTTGTGAGACGATAACAGATTGTAAGAAATTGTCCAGAATCAAACACCAATAGTTAGGTAATACGCGTCCGATTGGAATGTTCCCTGTATCGGTCATTATATCAACAGGGTGAAATGTACAAGCAATAGTCGTTTCGGCTGGTCCATATAAATTCCATATTTGACATGTTTCCGATACCATACTTCGAATTAAAGGAACCAGTTTTACAGGAAAAGCTTCACCTAAAACAAACACGTTTCGAAATATGCAAGAAAAATTCGTTTAAAATCTAAATACCACCACTGCATACTGATCTCAAGTATTTCATAGCGTCACGAGCGTTATATTCTTGAGAAATAGTAAACAAACTCTGAAAGATACTCGGCACATTGTTTATAAATGAAATTTGTTTCTGTTCAAGCACTGTGATAAGATATTCAAAATCAATCATTCCTCTTGGATGAAGCATCACTATCGTCGCACCAATTATCAGTGTTCCTATTATATCTTCCACATGAATATCGAATGAACAACGTGTCATTTGCACAACTGTATCGTTCTCATTCAATGTATTGACAGAATTCAACGAACGAATAGATTCACTGAAGTTTCTATGTCGAATTTGAGCCTATAACAAATGCAATAGTCATACAATTTTGATCGACGATAGTATCAAAAATCTACCGCTTTCGGTGTTCCGGTTGAACCACTTGTGAATATAATATAAGCTATATTCTCTGGTGTTACTTTAATACTTGTTAGTTGATTAACATCAGCATCGTTTTCTACTTCGTAGTCAATTATAACTGAATCAATATTAAGTGACTTATTATCGTCGAATTTAGCTTGTGTTATGGGATGAACAAGAACGAGACGACTTTGAGTTTGTTCTATCAGTACATTTAAACGATGTTGTGGATCTCGAGGTGATAATGGACAATAAACTGCACCAACTATCTCAATTGTCATCATGCCAATCACCTAGAACATATCAAGATTATAGTGAGAATGAATACTAATTTCTTCGATTCACTTACCATCGATAAACTTCTTTCGACACATTGGCAAACAAGATCGCCTACATTAACGCTTTGTTTATTCAACAGATTTAAAGATAATACTTGTACATAATATAGAAGCTCAGAATATGTCAAAGATTGATTATCGAGCTCGACTGCTAGTTTTTGAGGATGTTCCATCACTTGATGAATAAATTCATGATGTATACAAGCTAGCGGAGAAAATAATACTTGTGTGTTGTTTATTGATTTCATAAGTAACCTCTCATCTGGTAATATAATTGATAATTCATTAAGTAACTTGTTAATCTGAACTTCTTTCATGTGAAACAGATGTTCTAACATTGAATAAAATCTTTGAGTCATCTTATCTACTGTTATCCTATCAAACAAGTCGATTGATGCACTAAACGAACATGAAATATGATTCATATCTAAATCATATTGAACAGTGAGAATGAAGTCAGAGTCGCCCATTATTGCATCATCATCAATACAGACTGAAGTGGACATATCATGAAATCGAGCATCTTCCATTATCAATTCATTCTTGCTATTTTTAGAAGTATAAGATTGAAATTCAAATGCAGTATCAAGAAATACTGATCTTGCAGCGTTTGAATTTTGAACCAGAATTCGTTGAAGAGGAAAATATGAGTACTCTAAACTATTTGTTGTGATCTCTTGAACATGATCAAGTAGTTGAGGAAACGACCAATAGGGATCTAGTTGACATCGTAAAGGAATAGTATTGACGAACAGTCCAATTACTGACGTCAACTCTTTTGTATATCTTCCATCTATGTTCATTTTAATACACAACTCACTTTCTCCATTAGTCAATTTGAACAAGAATGCATAATAACTTGCAAGTACCAATTGTTCAAGTGTGATACCATTCAACGATGAATAAGTAACAACAGCTTGCGAAAGATCTTCACCAAAATCGAAACTGACAGATATTCCACGACTAGTTCGATGTTCATCAGAAAGACGGTATCGATCAAATGGTAGTGGTAACGAATAATCGATGTTGTAATCTCGAAGAGTATCTTGCCAAAATATACTTGCAGCAGTCATTGGCATTTTTCGTTCTATGGTAACATCTGGATGAGAGGAAAAACGAATGATCTCTATAGAGAGCAAGAATTATCGTTACTCACGATCTAGATAATGCAGAAGAGAGTTGTTGTCAGTGGTCAGTTGACCTGTGTTATAAGCTTGATTAAGGTCCTGAAGAAATATATCCATTGATGGAAAGTCAAAACAAGCAGATTGAAAATTAAAAATGATTGCATCTTTGTCGCAAAGAACATTCTTTGAAGCGATTGGTATGTGATGGAGAATATGACATCGAAATACATGACCCTGATCAAGATCGAATAGTTGAGAATTTCGTTTTTCATCATGCATAATGAGATTGAGTTCGGTATCAGTTTCGAACGTACTTTCAATGAATTCAAATATCCCATTGTTATTCTCATTGAAGTCAATTATTCGTTGCATGAGTTGATTCTTTTCTGTATTGAAGAGAAGTGATGTTCGAAGCGATTGATGTTTGGTCACAAGAAGTTGAAGAGCTTCTCTAAGTTGATGAATTGATAAAATCTGTTCCGAGCATGGGCGATAAAGAAAAGGCATATTGTAACGTGCCAAATATAATTTGTTGGCATCAAAACGATTATGTTTATTATGCCAAAGCTGGACTTGCGAAAAGGATGCTGGTGCTGCTGTGACAAAATATAAATAAGAAAATATTTAAGGAATCATAAGAGTTGAAAGTTCAAATGAGAAATATGCTACTTTTGTACTTTGAAGTACCTAAAAGGATTGTGAAATATTCTAGCTTTCCCTATTCTTTAACTCACATGGAGCACAGTTCTCATGAGCTATAATATAAATCTTGGTGCTTGAACGATTTTCGAGAGATAATTGCTTGAATTGAAAATATTACATAGAATTAGATGAGAGGTGCCTCTCTCGAGAGAAAAGAGTCAATCCTGATGTATTCGAGGATCCATTAGGATCGGGAGAGACTAAATTAAAAAACAAAAAGGGGCTTCAGAGTATGAAACAAAGAAAGTTCTGATCCGAGACACTGAGATTCTCGGATTTCCATAAGTTTTGTCATAACATGATAAATTCTTTTTCTTTTTGGAACTCACCAGGCTTCACGCTTCTACTATTGATTCAATGTTATAGTGACTTCTGATGGCTTGTACTGCGTTCAAGTTGTCTTCAATGGGTTGCAATCAAACTCACTGAAGTATAGTTGATTACTGTTACTTATGACACCTCTTGATAATACTTCGATCGGTCTATTCTACAATTAATTAGGACTGAGAGATCTAAAATGATCCAATTTTCTTCCGTTGATCAAAAGATGACAGAATTTAAGGTGATCTGCTACTCTAGTCTCAATTCCGTTTCGAATTTCAGTAATATTGATTTACAAGATGCTATATAATGAAATAAAACCCCTCTTAGGATTATCTAAATTATGGCAGGATCCTACAAAGAATAATACAAGCGCAACGAGACTCATCCATTGGTGAATCTTGCCGAAATTCAATCATTATTCTTTCTCATTTTCTTACACGTTTCTATTATGAATATGCTTTCTCAATGTTCTTATGTAAGATTCACTCAAGATTTTCGAATATGTGAATCGCAATAAATTACACTGTCCATATTAAGTAAAATATTAATGGCAACAAACGAAAGTGCTGGTCAAGACTCGATGTTTTTTTTGTTTCGATTCTGACAGAAATCTCAGAATGTAAGAATACACCTGAATTGTATTATCATATTCACTTCCATCTTGATGTAAATGAATGAAAGCATCCAAACATGACATGAAAACTTCAGCTGATTAACTTGTAGAAAGTAACGGATCAAAAGAAAGATTAATTAGGAATTAACAAATAGTAAAAACTTGAATTAACTGCCAACTTATGATGTAGTAGGTGTTTTTTCCAAGTAGCCAAAACTTGAAGTCTTTAGACCTTCTTGAGCTTTCTTGAGACTTAATCATAATCAAAATCCAGAAACAAATAGTAACTGACAATTAGTAGCTTTGACAACGAAGACTTATATGAATATCTAGTTATTTTGCAGATTTATCTACATCCCAAACATTTGCCTCTTCCTTGCTTCTATATGATATCAGATATTAATTATTTTTTTAATTAGACTACTTTTTGGCGTTGTTTGGACAGATTTATTGGCCAGGTCATAAATTATAACCTTTGAAAAGCAACTGTGACTTTTTTAAAAAGATACACCTATTAACACTTTAATGGGCGACTTTTGGATGGCCAATTTTCGCTTGTAAATGAGAAATAGTGATAGCTTTCTTCAACACTCTTTGTTGAAGAAACAGATAAACACCGTTACTTGATCTCAAATAGCCATAAATTAATGCCTTCTATGCAGTATCATCGTTTTTTTCTATCAGAGCCATTGATCTTAATTTATTATAGTTCTGTAACCGAAAACCAAAAAGTGAGACAGATATGTCCCAGCGCTCTTCAAAAGGTTAGCATCGTTTTTCTCTACAGTAATCCTGTTTTTATACGATAAGAACTTAAACGATTAGTAATCTTGCAAAATATCATCGCAAAAATCAATTTAAGTTTTCAATACTTTATATAGTAGAGTAAAGGACGTAATAAAAGTAATAATTTTGCTTTGTTTTCTTGGTAAACCAAAATTGTCATTACTGATAAGGATAAAAATAAACTTAGTCAATACAGTTTAATTAATGATTGACATAAAGGAAATTTTTTTTGCAGGCACGTATCGGTGCATACTGGAAATATCACAAAAGAAAACGCACGATCTATTATTATATTTTTCAAGAAACATGTAATCGAAAACTCAACTCACCTTCTTTAATATCAATTGAATGAGATCGATCACATCTTGCTTCTAATGTCGTATTTTCCATCAAAAGACGAGCATGTTCAGCAATGGTTGGCTGCTCAATAAAAGTAGTAATTCGAAGATTATGATTGAAATTGATGGAATATAGGTTAAATAAGCTTATAAACGATTTAGGATCATCTCTAAGTGAGAAGAACGATGTTGAAATTGACAGGTTCGAGCCTACATAAGAAAGTACTTGATGCCATATTTTGTGTACTCGTTGTTCCATCTCAGTTCTTGGTAGTTTCACTTCACTTGGAAATGTCGGAAGATAAAAAAAGTCAGATATTGGAAGATTTTGTTGATTTATTTTTCCATTTTGATCGACTGGTAAGGTATCAACAATTATAAAAATATATGGTGTCATATATAATGGAAGAAAGGTTAAACAATGGTGTCTCAAATATTCAATAGTATGTGTTGTTTGAACATAAGCTATAAAGTAATCAGTATTTTTATGTTTTTCTTTAATAACAACACAATCGGCAACTATCTTCATCAAAACTCTTTGGATTTCTTGTATTTCCATGAATTGGTTTCTCAACTTCACTTGATCATATTGATGCTCTTTGAATTCAAGCTGTTTAATTCTGGTGTTCAGCCAACCTAAGTCACCTGTTTTATAAAAAAATGCATCATTCAAATTACATAGTACTCTAGGAGTAAGCTCGTTGCATCCGTAGTAACCATAAAAGAGACCCGAACCTATATTGTATTTAGATTTTAAAAAATGATTGCTCATTTAATTCTATCAAATATTACCTCCGATAAAGATTTCACCTGTTTGAACACCGGGTATTACTGGTTGACGATATTCATCCAAAAGATAGATGTGAGCACGTGACAGAGGTCGTCCAATCGGTAAAAAATCAGCATCATTACTATTACCTTCGTCAATATATTGAACTGCTGTTCCTGTACATTCTGTGTATCCGTAACAGTTATAAAACCGGCAGTGTTCATTTACAAAACTCAAAATTTTACGTACAATGCTAGCCATCAATGGTTCCCCTGTTAAGAGCAAGGTGATAGATCGAAGAACAATATATATTAGTATTGTCTCTTACCTTCAGATAGAACACACCGAAGTGTCTTTAAACTATTCTTGTTCTTGATAGTAGATAAATAATCACCAAGTATGATTAGTAATGAAGGAATGGTATGTAAAAGAGTGACTTGTTGACGACCAATTGTTTCAGAAAAGCAACTCACACTAGCATTGCCATTTGGATGATGTAGAATTACTTGACCACCCATTATTAGAGTCCCGATTGTTTCTAACAAATGAACATCGAAATTGACTGATGTATGATGGAGAACAGTATCGGTCGATTCAATGTGGTTTGAACGAAGAGTTGAAATAAAATTACGATGGCGAAGTTGTACCTACATTAATTACGAAGAACGAAATCAATTATAAATCCATATATCAATCATTTTTAAATACTTACTGCTTTAACTAATCCAGAGAGATCCGTTGTGAAAATAATATGTGAAATATCTTCAGGTGTTACATTGACATAATCGATGCATGTTGTTGTTACTTCGTTCATATGAGCAATAGAAATGACCTGGTCAACATTGATCATTAAGTCTTGGGCAAGAAGCTGATTCTGTGTATGTTGATGCACCAGAATGATATGAGTATCAGTCTGTTGAATGCATGTATTCAGTCGTGTTCGACAATCATGCACGTTCAAAGGAGTATAAACACTACCAGTCATCCAAATTCCTATCATTCCAATTATCATTTCGAAAGATCGTTCAATTAATTGACAAACAATTTGACCAGACTGAACAGCACAATTAACGATTAAATAATTAGCTAACTGTTGAGCATAGTAGAGCAGTTCACCATAAGTCATGGATCCATTGTCTAAAACCACAGCCACTTTTTGAGGCTGTAAATGAGTTTGATAAGCAAAATTCATATGAATACAGCCAATTTGACTATAATCAAGACAACTATCGTTCAAATCGCGTAATAATTCAACTTCATGTGGAAGTAAAAGTGAAAATTGATATATGGATGAAATAGAAAAGAGTTGATCGAAAATATTCTTCAAACGATTTGCCATTTTGAAAATAGTTGATTTATCATAAACATCGAGTGAAGCGTTGAGCGTAACAGAGATTGTCTCGTTTTGACGGTGTTCATGCAATATACATGTCATATCAAATTTAGCGATATTGCCAGCTAGTAAGTTTCGATCTATTATACTAAATGTTGTTCCTGTGTCAATTTCTATGTTCTGTTCATTATTATCCATTATCGTCTCTACAAGAAACATAGTCCGAAGAAATGATGATCCCAATTTTGGATTAAGTTTAATAATCTCTTGATAAGACAAATGTGAATGCGGAAGAATATTAAACCAAAGTTGTTGAACTCGATGACAAAGCTGAATAAAAGATTCGTATGGATCAATTTTCAAACAGAAGGGTAGAGTATTGGCAAAAAAACCAATTATGCTTTGGAGTGGATATTGAGATCTGTTGGCTACAACTATACCTGTACACAAATCGAGTTGCTTGCTGTTGGACATTTTGAAAAGAAAAGCAAAAAAAACAGCGAGACCAACTTGAAAAAGTGTCAAATTTGATTGAGAAATAAAATGAGTCATCTTAGTAACAAGATCATGATTAAGATCGAATGTTACTGTATAACCCTTGCCACTTCGTATGACAAAGTTTTGTTGATAAATTGAATTGTCTAAGGTTGCTAGAACATTATTCCAATACTGTCGAGCACTTGACCAGTCTTCTAGTCGTTCATATTGCGCATAATCAATATATGTAATATTGTCTTCATTATTGTTCAATAGTTTCTGCTCTTTAAGAGCTTGTCGAAGATCATCAATGAATATTTTAATTGAAGTGAGATCGATAGCAACATGATGAAAATTAAAAATGATAATATCGTCTTGTTTTAAATTCTTGTCATTATCTTCTTGAAGGGATCGATAAAGAATATGGCATCGAAATACACGACCTTGCTCCAAATCAAACAAAGATCGATTTGTTTCTTCATTGTACAGAATTTTTTTCAAATGATTGTTGTCGATAAGATGAGTTGTATCTAGATCGAACAGATCATCTGATTTCGGAAGTACTTTTTCTATAAGTTTGTCATGATCGTATATCAATGCTGTACGAAGAATTGAGTGTTTACTCATAACAAGTGTAAGAGCATGACGAAGACGATGTGTAGATAACGAAGTAGATGATATTAGCTTGTAGATGAGTAATTCATTATAAATAGATATTTGTGAATTGATTGATGTATTAAAACGAACTTTTTCATCCATCCAGAGACGTTGTTGAGAAAATGAGGTCACTCCTATTCTAAGCCTAGTAACTAGATTCAAGTTATATTTTTTTTATAAAGATAACGTACCTTGTACCAGATGTAGAGGACTCCAAATAATGGTTGCTTTTGTCTTGCTATTTAACAAGAGCTGAACATGTTCAGCGATAGTTGGATTAGCAAAAAAATCAAGTACATTTAGTTGCTTATCTGAAGCCAAGTAAAATTGATAATAGTTGAAGAATTGCATTAATGAAAGAGATGAGCCACCCAATGCAAAACAATTCTTGTCACGAGAAATGGCATCAAGTCTCAATGTAGAACACCATAGACGATGTACTTTCTCTTCTAATTCCGACATTGATCGGTCTTCACTTCGAGAAGAGTTAGTTAGCGCATTATATTGTAATGAAGGTAATGGGAATTGTTTTCTATCGACTTTTCCATTTGAATTAACCAGAAATTTATCCATGATGATGAAATAAGATGGAATCATATATTGGCGCAAGTGTTTATTGCAATAGTCTCGAATATCTTCAGTGTTCAGCTTCAAATCATTTGAGACTATATAAGCAACAAGCAGATCATCACTTTGTGGAAGTTTCATCACAAGACAGTTAGAAATCTTGCCAGGAGACCATCTCATAATTGTATTTTCAATCTCCGCTGTTTCCACTCGCTGGCCACGTATTTTAATTTGAAAATCAACACGTCCAGCATGTACCAGTTCACCATCTGAATTATATCGTGCTAAATCACCGGTTTTCATGTAGGTTTGATTGCTAATGGTAGTAAATATACTGTTGGTCCGCTCTGGATCATTCAAATAGCAATGAAACAAAGTTGGGCCTGTTATGAAATTAAAAGGAAATCTATGGTAATGAAGAAAATGAGTACTACTGACCTCCGATATAAATTTCACCTATACCGCTTGAGTTACCTGTATAATTAACTACTTGACCACTTTCATTGACAAGCAAACATTGAACACCAGGTAGTGGATAACCAATAGGCACATCCATATCATTGATACCTAACAAATGACCAGCAATAACTCCATGGCATTCAGACATACCATATAAAATAAAGAATCGAGTATTGAACGAACTTAGAAAACTGAATAATTTGATTAATTCCTGCGGTTTCAATGTATCACCTAAACAAACGAGAGTGCGTAAGATATGCAAGTAATACCGCAATTAAATATAAAGTTCATAATTACTTCCTATGAACAAGTTGCGTACAGACTTGAATATTTCCAATCGTTGGCTTATCTCAAGATAAATCGTAAGAAGTCTAACCATTCCAGGACTAATTGCAAGTGTTGTTACTTGCTGATGTGTTAGAGTTTGACAAAAATAATCAACATCCAAATGACCACCTGGCCGCATTAATACAAGAGTACCACCAACTACAAGTGTCGATGGTATTTCCCAGATGTGTAAAATCCATGAAGAGGTAGAAACCTGAAGGACTTGGTCACGAAATGTATAGACTCCAACATGCCATTGAACAAAAGCAGCGATACACGCTGAAAAACTCTTGTGTGTATGTACGATTACTTTTTGCCGTCCAGTTGTACCTGAGGTACTAATCATGTAGGCGGCACCACACCCTTTACAATCAGGAACATCGCTTATTTCATCAACTACTAACAATGGCAGGAGAATGCCATCGAGCAGAATATGTTGAATGCCGGTTGGTGGAAATTGAGTGCGGGTTTTTGCATTTAGCAGAACATATTTACCTTGTATCTGTTCAAAAAACGCATGCAGGCGGTCAGGTGGTTCTGTTGGATTTATAGGGCAGTATACACCGCCAGCACACAAGATTCCAAGGAAGCCACATACTATTTCAAAACCTCGCTCACCAAATTGATAAATAATTTGCCCTTGAACGATACTTAAGCGCCGTAGATGGCATGCTATACGTTTAATCTGCTCGACCAATTCGCTGTATGTCCAAACTTGATCTTCGAGCACCAGAGCAACTTTTTGAGGATACATTTGAGCGATCCCAAAAATCCGTTGTAATACATCGAATGATAATGTCATGTTTATTTTAAAATGTGCTTAAATAGGAAAACTTAAGACAAATCTGAAAGTGAACAGAGCGGGAAGTTTAGAATGAAATTTCCATCAGACAAATATCTAAACAGGATCTGGTTTCGTCATGAGAAGTCATAGAAACAGGAATTACTGAGATTTGAAACAGGATCAAGACTAGGAACACCAGATTTTTTCCCCACAATAGTGAAGAAAATCCTTAGAGGAAAAATACTCTTTTCTCAGTAAGATTCCTAAGTCCACAAAACTCGAGAAACCATCTTACTATTCAGATTCGTTGACCTCGAAAACATTTGATCAAACTTAATAAGAATAGCGTTATTGTCGAGAAATAGCTTTCCTCCAGTGAAATTTGGACGTTGAGAATGTTAATGAAGAAATCAAGAATAATTACTTAGGATATTAATAGTAAACCTACTTTAACTTTGCGTTGATTTTTTAAAATTAAAGTGGAGAAGTGTTTTACTTTAATTAAAGTTAAAGTTTAAATTTGAAGTGGCATACCTAGACACAACTATGACTTTTGTATAAATTGAAAATATTCCTTGTTCTAATATCTATATATATAATGATCAGTGGCTGTCTGACATCTCTGTACCCAGGTCAAAGGTTCCCAAGTTGCCATTCGATGGGTATTTCGAGATGTCGATATGAGCTTTCCGATGGGTTGACGAAATTGTAATTTTGTTACCCATCGACGGCCCCTCGACCTATCCGAAAATGAGACTCCGACGGCTCTGTTTGAAATTTCGATGCCCTCGCCGCACCCATCTCTGATGAATTCCGATAGGTTCCGATGGGTGAAATTATCAGAGCTACGAGCGGTCGATATTTCGAGCACTCGAAAGTTTGGTGAAATTTCAAAAAATTTTCGTCTCCTGCATTTGTTTTTTTTTGAGCCCTCGGTACCTATCGGATATTTTTGCAGAAGTGAAGNTCCGACATTTCAACGACTACACGAAAATGTAAGAAAATTGTTTTTATTAATAATATTGGAATATTTATGTTTACTAAATCTGTTTTAGCCAAGAATTTGGCTTTAGCACTTGGTTTATCATTGGGTTTGGGTATTCCAGCATTAGTTACAATTATTGTCATTGCGGTCTACGTTGTGAAATTCGTACTTTAATAATGAAAACAAAAAAGAGACTCATTGCATTCGATAGTGCTGATGGGAACTAAATAGACATTCATTTGATTTTTTTAAAATATATTTTCTTTTCAAAATTGTAAGGTTTTCCTATTTCTAAAAAGATTTTCTATTGATAACTCATTTTGACGTTTAAATGTTGCCCGAAGAGACTCATTTGTAGTCGAATCGCATACTTAAAAGAAACCTGAATCATTGGTAATTACAATTTACTGCATTTTGGCAAAGTAGTAATGTGTAACTTGAAATATTATAATTTGATTATTAACTAACCAAAAGAAACAAGTATGCATATAATCATTTCTAATTTGATGAAAATTGAAGCAGATTCAGTTGACGCATTTAAGATACACAGTTCAATAATGATCTTTTTGTTTCACACAACGAGTGATAAAAGAATTTTCTTAACCGATGGTAATACAAGAAGCTTTTCGAGATGTTTTTATGATGTTGATTACATTGAAATCTTCTTTGATTCAACCTGCTGGAGACACGTTTAATAAATAATGCTCGTTAATAGTTCTTGCGGCATCATTTAGTAGAACTATCAGACTGATACTTCATATTTCAGCATCGAAGATATCAGATATTTTTTATAAGTTCAAAAAAATATTCTTATCGTTTTTATGTTTAATTTTGTTTTCATTGAAGAAGTATAGAAAAATTTAATCGAATTTAATCCAGTAACACTTATTGCATATGTTGATGGTGAAATAAAGTTTTTGTTTCTATTTTCAGTAGATAAATTGTGTAATTTATGATGATAAAATCATATCAAAAGTATATCCACATGAGAATTTGTTGTCAATTTAGCAATTTATTATAGAATGAAAAGAAAAAGAAGCGAGTGGCCCATAAAAATAGTAGTGTTAAATGCTGGTAGTTGAATTCAATTATTGAAAAATTTTGCAGATGTTCAAATTTTCAACTATCCAATTATTGAGTTCAGGTATTCTGACAGAGACACCGCATGTGTATTTTTGCAAATAGTTTAGTACCCGAATATTTGAAGTGAATAGTTGAATATGCCCGAAGTGAATATTTAAATACTTGAATATTTGAAATTCAAGTTTTTAGACATTAGATATTGAAGAATTTAATTCAATTTTCACATTGGATATATGTTGAGTTTCCAAAGTGCGGCTCTAATGCACATCAGCCAACATAACAGTGAATACTGTACATCCTCCAATCAATTCAACAAATGGACAAGAAGAAAAAATAGAGGCATCTGAATAATTCTGCAAATGTTTACAAGAAACAGTCACCAAGGTGTAATTGCAATCATTGAATATCTTATATTTGAAAAGTTTAAATTTAAAACATTAAGTTCAGATGTTCAACTATTCCATTATTGAGCTGAGAGATTCACGTATTCAATTAAGCAACAAGCCAACTACTCAGCTTACAATGGAAGGGTTTGTACTGATGAGCAAAAAAGCTTGACCATGTTCGGGCGAAATTATCACTTTCTCTGAATAACTAACAAATTTAAAATATGAGTTGTCCATGGCATGCCTGGACAGAGATATTCAATTTTTAAGTTATGCATACTTTAGGCATAGAAGCATGATAGTATAAAAGCCAGTCCATATAAACCATGACCGAGCATGCTCAATCGAGGTCATCAGATTTTGATCAATTGAGAATATGCTGTAGAGGAAAGAGTTTGAAGGATTTTGACGCAAGCCGTTTGAAAAAATACTGTTCCGTTGTGAAGATATTAACATTTTTCTGGGAGCACTCTCGTCAAAAAAGCACCTTTGTTGTGATTTTTGTCCGAAAACTGACCATTTTGCCGTGTATCTGGTACTACTTATCACTTCATCTAGAGCTATCTCATTGGAGCTCATTTTTCTATGATAAGTATATCATCCTGAGAAATATTCATAGTAAGAATTTCAAATCAAACGAATATATTTTTGGTGAGATATGACTGTCACAAAAATAAAAAAGAGGTGCTTTTTGGATGATAGTGCTCTCAGAAAAAATGTTCATATCTTGACAACGAAACAGTATTTTTTTTCAAATAGCTTGCATCAAAATCCTTCAAACTCTTTCCTCTACAGCATATTCTCAATTGATCAAAATCTGATGACCTCGATTGAGCATGCTCGATCATGGTTTATATGAACTGGCTCTTATATTATCATACTTCTGTCTAAAATATGCATAAGTTAAAATTTGAATATCTCTGTCCAGGTATGCCAAGAGCAGTTCATATTTTCAATTTATTAGTTTCTCAGAGAAAGTGATATCTTTACCCGAACATGGTCAAACTTTTTGCTCATCAGTACAAACTCTTCCATAGTAAGACTGACAATTAATATATTTTGTATAGACAAATAATAGAGGAAAGCATTTTGTTGTAGATAAACAAAACGGTCATTAGGTGATCCATAAATAGAAGTTGAAATTAATCTATCACTATAATTAGTAGAATAACTATAGTCTAATGGTTCAGTGCGATTAATTACACCTGTAAGAACAAAATAGATTTTGATTGCTAGATCAAGAATTTAGGCGAATGCTAAAAATTGGCCATAGGTTAGCTTTTGAATCGCTTATGATGGACCATTTCTTGCAAAACAAGGACTCGCAAAACATAAAGGCACCGCCAATATACTATGATTCTAGGTATAATAAATGAGATTTTTTTCTGATCTGAGATATGATATACTTGCCAAATTTATTTGTATAGCCATTTGATCATAAGATACACGCATGGTTCCCAATCGTTTTCAGCCGCTCAAAGAACAAAAATTTTCCAGATAGTCAAATCAGCTATACATAACTAAAAATTGCTTATAAAAAGTCAATTTTTGTTTATCTTGGTAGAAAGTCGTTGGAAAAAAAATTAAAAAATTTCTCAGAAAGTCTATAAACCTCTTGGTAGAATAAGTTCCCGCCAGCTCTCCTTCCTGATGGTGTGGATCTGAGTGTGGTTTTAGGTGAATATAAGACCTACACCCTACATAATGAAAAATATTATCTATTACTTCAATCGTTTTTTTTTGTGGAACTCACATACATTTTCGAAGAAAATAGTGAGTACCAGCTTTAAGTCGAAATTTCGTGGCCCCACCCGGCCCCATTATAGACACCTAGGAACGCAGATCTCCATGACACCACCCCCCCCCTGCCCGCCCTCCATTAGAAACTTTAGAAATTGAGAATAAAAAGCGTCAGACTTTCTCGATATGTAATATTGCATAGGATCTGATGTTGACCTCATGCATATGTAAAATAGATTTATTTGTCAATTAATTCAATGATTATAATAATAAGAATGTTAAATTAAGAAAAACGAATTAAATAAAATGAAATATAATGAGCGAATAGCAAGACGGCAAACAAAAAATAGGGTACCTGTAGCAATGATTAACAATTTCTGGTCGAAATTCAGAAATTAGAGAAGTCTTTACTCTGGTGATCGATCATCCTGCACAATAGCTATAGGCTACTAGAAATTCTTCATTTTACGTATTTTATATCAGTTTAATGAAGCTAAAAAAGATATATGAGATTCACATTTTAGCCCAAAGGGACTGCTCTAACAAGCTTTTCTCATTATTTTCTCAAAAACAAAGAATATGTGAGTAAATTTAAATTACTTTTTTTTATTAATTCTCTTATTGATTAGATTCAACATAGATAACATCATGCCTTGGTTATCCTACAGAAACGAGAATCATACTGTCTTATATGCAAAAAATATTTTGCAGCAAACTTGTCAAATATCTTATGATATAGTTATTGTTTTTTCTCACTAAACCACCAGACACAGTGATTATTTTACAGTGAATGGGAAGAATCAGGTAAATCCTATACGAAATTAGGGTAATATCCTCTAATATGTTTATGTCATTTAGGTTTTTTGCAACTTTGCCGTGGTATACTTGTTAACAAGTTCAAGTATTAATAATCGATGAAAAAACGTTTTCAGATAATAATAGACCTAAGATGATTTATCTGAAACAAGTCATTCAAAGTATGAATAAAAAATATCAAGTAAGAATCAAGAATAATATTTATATTTAGTAACTTTTATTTTCAATATTTAGAGAACATACAACTTTTGAAAACTACACAAGCTTTTTTTGTATATTTTTTTCTTTTATTAAGAAAAAAGTATTCATCTTTCCATATCACATCGAAAATATCAAACTCATCAGAGAGAAATATTATAATGCAAGTTAGCTGTCTAACACCAAACAATAATTTCATTAAAGAACAAGATTATATTTCTCGTTTAATAAATAATAAATCAATATATTAATATTGCATATCATTTGAGTCTCGATAATCTCTCTTTGGTGTTCTCATCTCCACTGAATCATTTTTATAAATATTTATCATCGATGATAGTTAATAAAAGGACCAAAACAATAACATCAGATCATATAGTACAATGGTTATAACCAATCAATATAGTTTTCTTTTTATTTATTGATCAATACCGCATCACTCTTATCCTTATCTACAACAATATAGAGCTTCTTATTCCGTGACAAAGTGATAATGCGCTTTCGCAGACATTCGATGAATAAAGAGTGCTTCGTATTTATCGGATCAATGCTACGATTAATATCATCATAGCGCAAAAAAAAACATCGAAAGCAAAAGCCAAAATCAGCGACCATTTATGCTGTCGTTACAACAACTTCTCAGCTTGCATCATCTAGTGAATTCAGCACATTATACGAAGGCATACATAAAGAGTTTAGCAGTAATAAAGCTGGGAGTATATGTAAAGCTATTCAATTGCTACTTGCAAAACCAACATATTCATGATGAAGAATAATTTGAATAGGTGGAATATTTGTTGAAAGTGAATGACCATTTAATGAATCAAGATTATCTACAAAAATAAGATATGGAACAATCGGGAAATTGAAAGAAACTTGTCGATTACAACCAAACATATTAAGTTCGACTATTTGATTCACAGCCATTACATGAGAAAGAAGAGCAGCAGACGATAAAATATTGTTTGAAATATTCAGTTTCACAAGACAAGAAGATGATGCAAATGCTTGTAATTCATCAATACATCTATATGAAACGAATAATTGGAAAAATGTATTAAACCTCCATAGTATAGTGTAGAATAGATGTTGTCAATCTTTTGGTTTTTGCCACTAAAAAAAGGAAATCAGTCAAATTGATTAAGAAAACAGTTTGCTGTTGAACTGATCCATAATCTTTATAGAAAGAGTAATAAACTTACTTAATTTGACCAAGTTTTATGAATAGTTGATCATCAGGTGAATATTCTGAAACAAATGTTGAATTAGCTACTTGTCATAGATAACAGTGACTACTACATGGGAGGGTGTGGGTGTAGTCAGTGAAAAGTGCTAAATGACTCATGTGATCAAGATCATTAATATCGATAGCAATATCAAAATTCATTTGTTGTAAAATAGACTATGTCGTAACGGTTGTGTTAACATGAGATAAACAATAGTGATTATTGCTAATAATATTATACGAAAGTATGTCAGAGGTGTTTTTATCGTTTCTGAACATGAATGGTATAGAAAAGGATGATTCCATTCCAAAATTAACCGAACGAAGATTCAGCAGATGTTGAAGAATTTTCATCAGAGTGTGCGGGACGTGAGTGAGCAGATAACACCCGCGCGCCTATATCTACACTCGATAATAAACAATGAGAAAAGCATTTTTATCTCCAATGTACTGGATAATAGGAATGGAAAAATAATAAATTTCAAGGTATATTTATTTGCTTCCGTATTGGAATCGTATATAAATAATATATATAAATACATAATTACCTGTAGCTTTCTGGATTTCTAGAAAAGTTAGATACACTATTCATTGTGACAGATAATGAAAAATAAAAGAAGCAAATCTTAAAGCATTTGATTTCCGATGATGTGACCAGACTGGACACGAAAGCTCGAATGTAAATATTTTTCAGATGAAAAATTAATAAAAATGATTTTCACAGAAGTTATCTCGTTTCTTTTCTATTATTTATTTCCTACTGCTCTTCCCTTTCGATTAACATCTGAAATGTAACTAGTAGATCAGAGTAAATAATACAACACAATCAGAAATTATATCTTATGTATTTTTTCGATACAACAATCATTTTATTCTCTCTTCTTTAAAAAGATAGTTCAAACACGAGGTTATGCCTTTTATGAAGATATTGGATAAAAGAAAAACCTATATTACGCTAAAATAAGAAATAATCAAAACTGTCATTTGAATGTTTATCAGAAAACTTTAGGGAACTTGTTTAGCAGGTACACCAGACCACTTTGTGTTAGGTGGCAATTGATCATCTTTCATCACAAGTGTCCATGGTAAGATATGATTTTGTCCTTGGAGTGTTGCTCCAGGAAGTATTAATGTATTAGACATCAGCACGCTACGATGATTTACAGTAATTGGTGCCAATTTCAATATACGTTGTTCGAATGTATGAGCCTAAAAATAGAAATAAAATAGATAAGATAAACAAAATATAATAGAATCATGTCTTACTTGTATATAAGCACCCATATTCAGGCGAACATAATCACCAATATTTACAAGATGTGGATCAGTAATACAACGAATGTCAGGCAGAATTACATCAGATCCAATTTGAGCACCAAGCATACGAAAAAGGAAAGGAAGAAGTTGTGTTCCTGATAGATATGGTCCGATAAAAGTAGAAAACTCACTCATCAATTTAAAGAGAAAGTATTGTTGATGAGTAATAACCTCTGAATACGTGAAGTGTGAGCGTCTTTTTGTAATCAAGATCGAATACTGGTAGATTGCACAAAAAAGTATTGCATGAATAAATAGTGCAACAGCAACTGGTGATGATAAATACAAAGCAATGAATAAATACTTGCTTATAAAGAAACTAAGACAGACGAACAATAGACTATAGATAGATGAAGAGTTCAAAGATGATAAATCATTTATGACAGATGTATCATCAGGGATTACAAAGGGCATTTCACGAGCTGGAATACCGAGTAATACACAATTACTTTGTGCACTAGTGTATTTTTGTGTAACCAACGTTAGACTTCCAACGATTATTTTGGAAGGAAGTGTTGTTCCTGGCATAATTGTACATCCATTACCAAGATTCGTATCTGAACCAAGATATATTTCATCAACATAACAAAGACCCTCTTTGGTCATGGTGAATGATGTGAGACTAGCTCTACCAAATGTTGTCACACCATGCTCTATATTGAGCAGATTTGATGGAAAACGTAATATTTGTTGAAATTCAGCAAGTTTGACATTGTCTTCAATATGAGCACCTAACCATCGTAAAATGAAAGATGAAAGAATATTGTATGATGGTAGAAAACCTAATGCGTGATGAAATGATGTTATAATTAATTGACGTAACCACAATTTGTGCAAGTAATCATAAGAATTGATTGAATAATATCCTGAAGTGATAGTTCCTACAATAAACTTTAATAAAACTAAGGCCATAGAAAAACTTATTAATGTCCAGATCAACCAAACTAAAGCCAGATTGATAGATAATGGTAGTGATAAAATCGAACAGTAAGAATAGCTTTCATAAGCTAACAGCAACACTATCCAATGAATGAAGAGAACACATAGTAGACAAACTAATTGATACACAGTTTGACTCAATGATAATGAGTGATCTTTGATAAATGTCTGATCATTAGATGTTATAAGGATTCCTGTAATAGCAGACATTGGTTCCATATAAGCATAATCTTCTATTATTACATCTCCATAAAGTGTACTATGTGTGTTGATCGAACAGTATGATCCAATGCGAATTCGATGAAGTTGATAAGTTTGATTCTGATATGATAAACTTGAAAATATAACATCATTTCATCACGCATTAGGTTTTCTACCATCATACAATANTCGGCTCCAATAGCCGGCGATCTGCCGATCTCCAGCAACCAAGGAGTATCGATCAGGATTGTGTAAATGTGTGTATGACATCCAATTTGGGCACCACATAATCGAAGATAAGAATTATAAAATGGTGTACCTAATAAATGCTTCAACCAATAAGAATTATTAGTTGACCATAAACTATTCAAAAACCACCAGCGGTAATAATACCAAGAATGTAACTTGCCTGTTTTGTTTGTAATTTCTCCTAGCTGTAATAGTAAACGCTGACAAATAACATACGAGAAAAGATGAAAAAAAGGTATAAATAGAAGCATGCTTATAGAGTTATATTGGAAGGCTAGCCATATGGGACACAGCCATTGACATATAAGAAATATAATGCCTAGTATTTCGATACACAATGATGGTATTGATCGATCTTGATCTTCTTGCAATTGCAGAGCAGTAGTTGTGGCTGATGATTCATCATATGTGATCAATAATGGTTCAATGACTCGTGCAAGTTGTCGAATCGATGGATTCGCAAATAAGAGACCAGCATCAACCTTTGTACATATTTCTTGTCGAATGAGCACTAGCGCTCGTATAGCATCAAGTGATGTACCGCCTAATTGTCGAAACGGTATATTCATATTTGGTGACTTACTGTGAAATGCCTGACTAAATATGCGCTGTAGATGTTCTTCCAAGGGCGTTAACGGCATCAAATTAGTATGATCGATGTTTGTCAACAGCGAAAAGTCAGGTATTGGAAGAAGTTTTCGGTCTATTTTTCCGTTTGCATTTGTAGGAAGTTTCTCCATTACGAGAAACATCGATGGAATCATATGAGGTGGAAGATGAGATTGGCAATGTTGATGGAGTTGTTCTGTATCGACATCACAGCTTTGAACATAAGCAATCAAATGATCATCACCCCATTTGATAACAACACAAGCTGAAATTGATGTCTTTAGTAAACATTGTTCGATTTCTCCAAGCTCAATACGTTGTCCATGTAGCTTGATTTGATGATCTTTTCTTCCGTGATAATAAAGAAGACCGTTGTGATCGATTCTAACAAGATCACCTGTTCGATAAAATATTTCACCATCAATTTCAACAAGGGCCTTTGCTGTCAGATCATGACGGCCAAGATATGCAGCGAAGATGCCTACTCCGGCTATTAAAACTTCTGCTTCTTGATTTACTATCACAAGCTGCGCAAAATCATCTTGAATTTTACAATGATAATTAGGAAGTGGTACACCAAGTGGAATAATCTCTTTGTCTGCCTTTGAGTTCACTCGATGGAATATAGATTGTAGGGTTGTTTCAGCTGGACCACATAAATTCCATATATGGCATCTTTCGTCTATATTACTCTCTAATAACTTAATAAGTTTTGCAGAGCAACGTTCGCCTAAAAATAAGAAAAAGAAATGAAAGAATATTAGGTTAAAATAACTAAAACTGAGTTTACCTCCAGTGCAGACACATCGGAGATACTTCGTAGCAAGCGACTTGTTAGTCTCTGCAACGAAATTGAAAAAGCTTTGGAGTAAAGTTGGTACAGTATAAAGAAAAGTAATTTGTTTCATTTCCATAACCATAGAGAGATACTCAAAGTCAATAGTTCCTCTTGGGCGAAGCATTACTAGAGTGCCTCCGATTATCAATGTTCCCATGATTTCTTGAACATGAATATCAAATGAGCATCGTGCCATTTGTAGTAAAGTATCGCTTGGTTTCATAATTCCAATATGTAGTAAAGCGTGTATGGATTGAGTGAAATTTCTATGCCGAAGTTGAGCCTATATACAAAGTAAACATCACTATAGTATTTCCTCATATTATCTATTTTTTACGTACCGGTTTCGGCGTTCCAGTTGACCCACTTGTGAAGATAATGTAAGCAATACTGCCCGACGTTACGATAACGCTTAACAATAGACTATTATTCATATCAAAACTTATGCTGTTGTTGATCAATATTGAATCTATATTAAGAAGAGCAATGTCATTATTGAACATCGACTTTGTCAACCAATGAACATGAACAAGACGACATTGAGTTTGCTTTATTAATGCACTTAAACGATGCTCAGGATCTCGAGGTGATAATGGACAGTACACGGCGCCAATCATCTCAATCGCCATTATACCAATGACCTAGACGATAACAATGCTTTTACTATAGTGAATACTGATTTCTTCCATCAACTTACCATGGATAAACTTCTTTCCACACATTGACAAATAATATCACCTACGTTAACTCTTTGTTCATTCAAAAGGTTCAAAGATAATACTTGAATATAATATAAAAGTTCACAATATGTCAGAGATTGATCATCAAGCTCAACTGCTAGTTTTTGTGGATGTTCCATCGCTTGCTTGTTAAACTCTTGATGTATACAAGTGACAGAAGAAAACAATACATGTGTATTATTCACTGATTTTATAAGCAATTTTTCATCTGGTAATACTAATGATAATTCATAGATTGGTTTCTTTATCTGGAAATCTTTTCCAGTAAATAGTTGTTCTAACATTGAATGAAACCTTTGAGTCATCTTCTGAACTGTTTTTCTCTCGAACAAGTCGAGCGTTGCATTGATTGTACATGAAAGTTGATTACTATCCATATCATGTTGTATAGTAAGGGTGAAATCGAGTTTGCTCAGTACTTCATCTTCGCCAATGTCGATTGAAAAGGGTGCACCAACAAATCGAGCATTTCCAATCATGACTTCTTTCTTGCTACTTGTAGCAGTATATGGTAGAAATTCAAATGATGTCTGAAGAAATGCAGGTTTTGCGACATTGGAATGTTGAGTTAGGATCCGTTGAAGAGGAAAATAAGAATGCTTCAAACTATTTGTAATTATCTCTTTAACATCATGACTTAATTGAGAGAAAGACCAATGAGGATCTAGTTGGCATCGCAAAGGAATAGCATTAACAAACGTTCCAATCACTAACATCAACTCTTCTTTATATCTTTCATTTGTGTTCATTCCAATGCATAAATCACTTTCTCCATTAGTCAATTTAAACAAGAAAACATAATAAATAGCAAGTGTCAGCTGTCGTGGTGTTATGTCATTTGATGATGAATAAGTGATAAGAGCTCGCGAAAGATCTTCACCAAAATCGAAAGAGATACATGTTCCACGACCTGTTCGATGTTCATCCGAAAGACGATATCGATCAAATGGTAAGGGTAATGAGTGATCGATTTTACAAGCTCGAAGTGCATCTGACCAAAACATGCTTGCAGCAGTCATTGAACTATGTTGTTCAATGGTAGCATCTAAACAAGAGCAAGAGAAGGTATGATTCGAATATAAGACAAGAAATATTCCTACTCACAATCAAGATAACGTAAAAGTGAGTTGTTATCTGTCGGGAGTTGACCTGTTCTGTAAGCCTGATCTAGATCATAAAGAAACACATCCATTGAGGGAAAATCGAACAAAGCATGATGAAAATTGAAAATGATTGCATCTCTGTCACAAAGAAGATCATTTGAAGAGGCCGATGTTTTGTTAAGAATATGACATCGAAAGACAATTCCTTGAGCAAGATCGAACAACTGAGAATTTCTTTTCTCGTTATGCATTACGAGATCCAGCTCCTTATCAGTTTCGAACGTGCTTTCAATAAATTCAAACAATCTATTATTGTTCTCATTCAAGCCAATGATTCGTTGCATGAGTTGATTTTTTTCTGTATCGAAAACGAGTGATGTACGAAGTGATTGATGTTTCATGACAATTAGCTGAAGAGCATGTCTAAGTTGTTGAATTGATAAAGTATGCCCGTGGTATAGACGATATAGAAAAGGCATATTGTATATTGCTATGCTTTGTTTATCAGCATCAAAGCGAATACGTTCGTCGAGCCAAATTCGAGCTTGTGCAAAGGATGCTGGTGCTGAGAAATAATATAAATTAGAATATGTCTAATGAATTAATCGCATGGAGATGTATTTCCAACTTTCCCGTTCTTCAAGTCTATTCTGGACAGTGAGAAAATATGGGTACAGTACGAAGCTTGCAAACGACTTCGAGAATTCAAAGGAAGAAGAAACATTTTTATGTTTCAAACATACCTTTTTTTCTTTCATTTTAAAATAGATTTGGTAGTCAAAGATACGTTCAGCATTCAATATGATACCACTGAGTTCATGCATACTTTTCCAATGCTTATTTCTATCTACTTATAAATATATTTAACCTCTCATTTCTATGCTTACTCGCTTTTATCTATACATAACTCTTATTTCTATATCTATGTCTAACACGTGATGCGTATATGAAATTTCTTATATTAAGGTCTTATATCGTCATCTATATATGATACCCTATATGTTTTTCTGCCAACTTGTGACTATATATATTCTATATGTCTATATTCTAATTGGTAAATCGAGAAGTATTGTTGCATGTCTACTCCTGTCTTCTGTGTCTGACCATCTGTGTCTACGTAAAATTGAAAATGAATAAATATCGCATTCTCTGAACTAAATTGAGCACAAAACAAGTCAATTGATGTGAAAAGAAATATGCATTAAGAGTGTGAATGTGTTTGCTGAACAATCATTCTAAATATGAAAAAGATTATGCCCCTTTCTCTACCAATGTGTTCAAACAAACAGATACCGCAAGACTATAGGAAACTTACAATTGTAACGATTCAGGAAGGACAAATTTAGAGAATTGTTCATGGACAGAAACTCTGTTACTTTGAGTAAAACTGAAAGATCTCACGGATTAACTGAAAAACAATGGATTGTGATATAATCGATGTTTTTCATATTGTTTCAAAAATTTGTTCCGTATGGAAAAGGATGAAATCTAAATGCAGTAATGATATGTGCAAATGTGATTGAAAAATGAACGATAGACAGGTAAACATAGTGAAGATTTACACTCACCGAGTTTCTGATTAGTGAACAGTTATGTATACTATAGATCAAAATTGAAAAAAAATGCTGTAGAATCTGAAAGAGTTTCTTTAAGATATCTATTAGATAGATTACGAAACTTTTAGTGAAATTTCGTGCATTTGTTCGATACACTAACGGTTTAGTTAAGTTTCACGAAACTCCACAAATTTCGTTTGACACCTTTTTTTCACTGTAGGAAAGAAATTTTCGGGGAAATTGTTCTTCACGATAAATATAGCTTTATGGGAACGATATGTATCGAATCTTATAAATTGATAAAAAGAAAATTTCTTTGATGCATCGCTGTCAGAATGTCGACGTTTTTCTCATAGTTACTTGGAGTATCATGCTTGTATCGAAATTATTTCGTATTTCAATCGAAAACATTGTATTGCTGTGATATATTGTAAAATGATGATTCATGTAAACTTAATATCTATTGGACAAATGGTTACAGTCAATACACAGAAAACTGTGGAATCAACGATAGTCTTTTAATCAATCTGTCGTTAATTCATTTTGTTACAAGATTTATCTTACCCATCCTGCTTAAAAGCACAAGTCTAAATTGCTTGGTGCATTTCTATGTCGCTCTCAAAGTATTCTACTGGTAATGAACAAATAACTACTCAG